AGAGACAAGCAGCTTTACACTGCTAATATAATACGTCACCGAAGATCTGAGAGCAGAGTCAGACCAACTAACCTGGCCAGTGCTGACCCAGGTGAACTGGTTACTGCTGTCAGCTGTCCGTGTATTTCCTTTGCCAGAGGTTAATGCCCTTTTCTAGCAAAAGCTTTTTCTTTCTTTTGCTCTCTTCCTTCCTTCCTTTTTTTCCTTTCCCTTTCCCTTTCCCTTTCCCTTTCCCTTTCCCTTTCCCTTTCCCTTTTCTTTTTCCTTTTCCTTTCCCTTTCCCTTTTCCTTTTTTTCCTTTTCCTTTTCTTTTTCCTTTCTCCATCATTTCACTAAATTGGGTTAGAAAGCAGACAAAACAGGGAAAATGACAGGGCTAAGAAAGAAAGAACCTTTGACAGGGCTGCCAGGGAGATAGGGACATCAACCAGGGAGCAGTAAATCTATCAACCCGGATGATGGTGATGACGAGTGGGTTGGTCTGTCTAGCCGTGCCTCATGCCCCGATGAACTCCGCACGAGTCAGGCATGTTGAGGAAGGATGACTGCAGCGCGTTGGAGGGGCGGGAGGGGGCTGCAAGGATGAGCTGGGGAACGGAAAGCCTCTCTTACGGAAGAAGGCTAATAGACACAGGTCTGGTTAGCGTGCAGCAAATAAAGATCAGGAGGAAAGAGGATGGCTCTTCATTAATACATCAGGAATGAAAAACAGGAAAACTGTCACTTAAGCTGTAAGATAAGAGTTGCTTAAAAACAAGTGGGTATAAAATTCCCATGAGTCAGTTCAGGCTGGAAATCTGGCAGCAGTTTCTAAAGAGCAAAGCAAGCGAGGCTCTGTAGAGCCCCTCAGCAGTTTTTTTGGTCACAGCAGCAGCCAAGTGTTCAGCCTAACTGGGCACATTTGTGGGAAAGCAATGCTGCGGCTGCTCCCCATCTCAGGCTGCCCCTCTTATCCTCTGTCTGCATCACCCTGCACATCCCCATAGCAGGAGCTCGCAGCCAGGCGCAGCCTGCCACACGGGGACCAGCAGCAGGAGCAGCGCCAAAGCATTCGGTTCAGGAGCGTCAATGGTACGATTGAGGGAGAAAATCCCCACTGGCCGTGGAACTTACATGTGGGAAAAATGGTAAGGAGCTAGAGGCAGAGGATGACACCAGAAGTGAAGAGACTGGTGCGAGGGAGGTGTAGCAGGTTTTGTTCTGATGTCCTAATCAAGGCTTAGCCGCATGTTATTAAGCAGACGTGATTCGACGTTAAGAGTGTTCAGATGTCGGGGATAATCGGGCCAGTCAAGTCCAGACTTTGAATGTGTGAAAAAGGAGGCCACACGAAGAAAAAAGTTGCAGTGTGGTCTTGTCGGTGTTTCAATTTATTTTCTCTGAAGTGTTTGCAAATGAGAATTTTCCTGGGGCTCAAGAATCTTTGGCAGGGCTGAGGTGGCAATGACCAACTGAGAACAGTAAGCATTTCAACCCATATCAGTGTCACCAGATCTCTAAATTCAAAAATCATTACTTTGTTTTCATACTCAGTAGAAATACAAAACCTCGGGGGCCATCCACACTTGAAAGGTCCTTTGGATTAAGGCAGTGTGGGAATTTACACTCCCTGGGCTCCACTTGAATACTTAAAGTACAGCTGACAAGTAAGAGAGTTTTTCATGACTTGACTTACATTTTCAAAGAGGGGAGTGTCCACACATGGAGCTACTCTGAAATAACTAACTGCCCACATAGGCAAGTCCTAGCAGATAACACTGGAAGTATTTTCAGCGCTCAAGCACGGAGCCTACAAGCACTACATACTCAGTTTCATGCAGGTGAATATATCTATCAGGTTTTGTAGGGTTGCTCATGCACATGGCAAAATATTTACAGGATTGAGGCCCTGCTTTGTAGAAAGAGATACGTGCTGTGCCCCGGAGTACCACCTTAAAGAAAAGTACGAATCCCCAGACTGAAAGCTAGTGTATCCCATCATCTCTCCCATCTCTCTGATACCATTCCAGTTGGCTCTCTCGCACTCCCAGATAACTCACACGTGTTCATTCATACACAAACTCTACAGCACCCCTTCCCCCCATGAAAAAGTCAGCCAGCTGTTACAAAATTCAGTCATTTCATTAACACAGTTTACTGGCTGATACTGCCAAGCAAAATAGAGATAATTAATAATAATCAGGACTGAAGGGTCTGAGACAGCTTATGAGTAAAGGATTGTATTAGTTGTTTAAAAAGGACAAACTCGCTCCTGCCTGGAGTGATAGGGAACAAAGGGCGGTGATGTATAACTGGGGAGGAAAGAGACTCTCTCTGTGGCTTTTGTAGATTACTGCGTGAATGACAGGAGCGGCAGGAGCAAATACCTCTCTTCATTTGCTCAGCCTGCTGGAGAAGAATAGCAGCCCTTGCCAATGAAGCTGCAGCTGTGCTCCAGCTCCGTTTAATCACTGTGTATGACTGAGGGTTAATTAGCTGCCATTCTTACTGCTATTTGTTGTTCTAATGAAGATTTGCATAAATGTACGACTAGGGGGTAACTGATACTTGATTTTTCCCTTCAGAGAGGCCGGGGGTGGAAAACTCGCCCATCCCAAGTGTTTATGTTTGTGGGAGATTCAGTGTTGCCTTTCCATTTGACCTGATCTGCTTCTGGCTGATGAATGGTGAACAAAGAGTTCAGAGTTGCTTATCAAATCGAGACCCCTGTTGGGTTTCTGCCTTTAGAAAGGGGCAGACTAGCTAGATGAAGAGAGGATCGACGGATTAGAAAATTACTCCCAGCTGACAGAGAGGAAAATACATATACGCATGTTTCTGTATCTATTATATAGATACATATATGATATATTTCAGTGATAGGTATCTCAGTGATATATATATCAGTGATGTGTGCCTCTATCTACCTACTTATCTATCTATCTATCTTTCTATCTATCTACCTACCTACCTACCTACCTGCCTACCTACCTACCTATCTATCATGTTCAATCCGGATGGCATGGAACCAATAATTTTTTAATGATAAATTGTCATAAAAAATTAATGGGACAAGCAGTACAACCAGAACAGGCTGTAGCATATTAGGCAATACACTGAAAAGTAAGAACTTGTAAGTTTTTGCAAGCCTTCTGTTGTACATCACTAACATTGAAAGTTCTCTTCTTATTAAAATAGTATCTAACACGAAACAGGCGATCTCAAAGGCAGGCAAAAATGACCCAGCAGTTCACATCTACCTGCCATCAGCTCCTTGTAAGAGGGGAATTCACAATATAAATTAATAAATTGCATTCATTCCTCAAAAAATCATAGGAAAATTTTAACATTTCAACATAACAGTAACAAAATCCCAAACTATTTTGTAATTAAAGAGAACATTTGAAAATCAAACATCACAAAATTGTTTTATTTACTACGGTCATGACAATGCTTATGGCTACTAACTGAAAGAAACCGAAGGGAAGGATAACCTCGTGGTTTTGGTATGTTAACTTGTTGCATATGATAATATATTATGGGCAACTGTTTTCAGTGTTCCTCTTACGCCCTTGGTCAGCTAAAACTGTTGTTTTGACAGCATCTGTAAAACAGCCTAAGAGAAAGAAAAAGATTGAGAGGGCAGAGGTAGTAAATTGCTAAATTTCAGATCGCTGCTGGAAAGTGGCCAGCTTTCAAGCTGACTGTATCCCTCCAAAGAGCGGTGACCACAAATGAGCACATACTTCTTGCCAGTTTCTCAATCCCAACACAGCTTTGCAGTGTCTCTAGCTCTTTACCTGGTCTCTAAGACACAAGAGCAAATATTCATTTGCTTTTCTTTACACTTCTGTCATCCATCCACCTGACTTCCTATAGGCACCTCTGCATATTTTGGCGTAGACACTAGCAGAGGTCAATCTTTCAGAGACGTAAGCAGAGAGCATCCAACACACCCGAAATAAATGTGCCTGAAATGGTAACACAGGTCTCCTTTACCACTCCAGCTCTTAGCTGGAAGGAACACCATGGGTTTTAACGCTATATACAGTAACAAACCCACAGGAAAATAAAAACAGTCAATTGCATTTTTGCCCACTTTCACCTTATTTTGAGCTTGGGAATAATTCAGTCTTCTCTTACAGCTTTTGACTCAGCCCTTGGTTGCACAAGAATCTCACATTCTGCCCTTTGCAAAGCAATTTTTAGCCCTTTGGTTGGGGAGAAAAGTTTAAAAACAGGAAACCTAAAGGTTTAAAAACTAGATGGCAAATTAAAAAAATATTGAAGTGTACAATAAAAAGTAAACCAGAAACAACCCTTGCAACATGTAAACAGACCATTTAATTTTTCTTTAATGATTCTCTAATAATTCCTATATAGTATGATTTTCCAAGGCTGCAGTCAGAATCATTCATTGGTAAATAGAGTAAGAGAAAGTGGAAATTACATATCTAGTGGTCAATGGCAGAAAACAAATCTAAAAGAGCTGAGGGAAGAGGTTAAGTGCTGTGCTAGTTAATAAGAATGACAGCTTGCTTTGAATACTCATACTGGCTGTCCAGGATATTGAATAAACCTAATTTAAATTAATTTTCATTATTTGTAGAGTCTGTGTTAGACATCTATCATTGTCAGTACTATTAATATTCTTTTCAGAGACCATATTATCAGCATATTTAAATGAAAGCTTTCCTTTTCAATATTTATTAACTCATTAATATTTCTTGGTACTAATATCCTGGTTGTAATATCCAAATTAGTGCCTACTACAAGGTATCTTCTACTGATTAGACTTCTTGAATTAAAAGATTGTTATTCTCAAGTACCAAAAATGCACTTGAGCTCCTGAAATTGTGCTTTCTTTCTATACTATGTCTTAATTTAAATGAATGGCATTTAAAATTTACATTTTGGTTTTTTTTAGTAGGTAGCAGTAAAACAGCACACTGACCATGTCCTAGTAGCTGACTGAATATGAACTGTGAATGAACGTGGATGTGAAAGTTAATTTGTCTTACCCGGGTTGCAGTCTGTGAGGAGGGAGCAGATGGAGAGGAGAACTTTAGAAATGGTTAATGCTGGACTCCAGTTGTCTTTTAAAATGTCCAGGCAGATGACGCCTTGGCTGTTAATATTACAGTGGTAGATTCTTGTCCGAAATGTTACCTAGAAAAGACAGCGTGTCTAAGTACGATGGTGTTCAAGCCAATAATTACATGATTATTAAGCAATTAAAAAATTATATGAACTAACATTCTGCTTTCCTGGTTGAAATCACAGTACTTTGCTACTGTCAGGTAAAGACTGTGCAAGATAGTGGTATTAATAAGAAAATAAAATAAAGTCTGCCTCTTCCACCTGTGGCCAGCAGTGGAACTGGTTTGTGCAAGGTGAGAATGGGACACGTTTCGTGAGCTTCCTCTTGCCTTGGTCTCACTGATCTCATTATCTTTGTTTGGGGCCAAAAAAAGCTATTCCAGCCCCTGATCTGGACAATGTTCATAACGCAGGCCCACAGCTACTTCATGCTTTGAAAGGAGGCAGAAGACGACAGATTCTTCTGCTGTCTTCATCTGTTCACCATTTGACCCAACAGATTAAGCTGGAAAAAAAATGTGGAGGCATCATAGAATCATTTAGGTTGGAAAGGACCTTTAAGATCATCGAGTCCAGCTGTTAACCTAGCACTGCCAAGTCCACCACTAAACCACATCCCTAAGCACCACATCTACATGCCACATCAGTGACTCCTGGAAAAAGTAAAGTGAAATATCCTTGAGAAAGGCTGCTCAAATAAAATGCTTTTATTTTCAAATTTTAAGTTACAGTTGAATCAGTAGAATTGCCGCAAACACCTTTTGGCTTTTTTTATATAGTCTCCCAGGTGATCCTATACGTAACAAACCAAGGAGGAGATCACTTCTTTTAGCCTAGAATGATGTGCTTCCGCTTCAAGTTGAAGAGATAGGCCTTTTATTTTAAAAGAAGTTCACCTATGAAAGTCCACTTTGTAGTTCAGAATGAATACTGGCGCTACTGGATGAGAAGGGACAATATAAAAAACTACCCCTTGGGGGTCTCCATCAGGGACTAATTTGTCTATCAATTCTACCCAAATGACAAGCCAAAACAGATGGGTTTAATGACATATTCACAACATCTAAAATTAAGATGTACAATTTCAGTGGTCTACCTCATCAGCAATAACCCTGCCAACAGGGGGGCTGATTAGGCAGGAGACAACAGCAGGCAAAGCACACCCCAATTTAAGAAAACTGTGCTTTTCACCAGAATTGAACAGTGCTAATAACTGGGAGTGCTTAGGCACCTATCCCTGCTTTACCACACAGATAAACCTGCTTCTGAAGAGTAATGAAAACTGATGACAGGCATGGTCCTGTTCTGATTTTATTCAATATCAGAAATCTCAGTGATTACAGCAGGATTGAGATCAGGCCACTTATCAGTAAGCAGAAGAGAGGATACAAGTGAAATAACACGGTACCTCGTTTACTTCTATTAAAATAAATCATTCTCTAACACACTGAAAAAATCTGACCCTTTGGATTAAATCAAGCATCTTTGACAAAATAATGGAAAGAAAAGGTAGTAGATTTCTGGTATTAAAAACACTACATTCAACAAGAAATATTTTTTTCCTGTAAGTACTTTTCCACATAAATCTGGGAAAGCACTTTTGGGCCCAGTGTCATGCACCAGTGAGTTCTGTAACAAAGATCTCAACAAACCAAGTTCATCAGTTTTTAAATGCATCTATGTCTAAGGGTATTGCCAATTAATATGTTAATTTAATAGTGTGCCACTCCATACCCTACATATTTGTAGGTTCTTTCCTTACCCTCACCCCCCACCCCCCCCTACAATTGTGGTTTTGCTTATTGTTTTCCAGCCTAAGTGCTTCACTTCCGGGACTTTTATGAGAATTTAAAATATATCTGGCACAATGAGCTCAATTCATATAAACACTACAGCCAGATGATCTTTTTTTTTCCCCTTATTAGGAGTCCAAGCATGTTCAGCATTTGGAGTGAAGGAAGTCTTCTGCAAGATCAAGAAAATAGTATTTAGTGATAAAATTAAATGTTTTTCTACAAAGGGAAGCTATTTTGAACAAGGAAGGTTACAAATACACAAAAGTGGTAAACTCCCTTACACAAAACTACATGTCAAAAATGTCCACAAAGGGAGCTGGTGTGGAGAAGCGTCCTGTGAATTGTAGGTCTCTGTTCATTAAGTCTCCAGACAGAGTAACTCCAGGCACTCTTATACTTGAGATGTAAGTGAATCAAGGAATGCTTCCTAGGAGGATGTCCCATGACTCAAGCAAATACTTTAGCACCTGCTTGATTTTAAGTATTGTATGCTTGCTTCTCAGTACGTTGCTGGAATAAAGTTTTTCCTTAATTATTTTTCCTGAACAGAGGTGCTTTCCTATGCTTCCATGATGAAAAATTTGAGGACTTTATGCAGTGATATCTGAATACACCAAGTAATAAGATATATGTGGTCTCACAGAATGTGGGGGAAACACACCAAATCCATTGCACAGATTAAATTATACCCTCTAAATTATTTTTAGACGAGTCAGTCTGAGCTTGTAACCTGTTTAAGAGAAGGACATCAGTTTAAGCCTGTATTTTAATGTGTAACTGGTTTGCCATTAGCGACTGTTTTGTCATCAGGGCAGACACGTTGCCACACGTTCCCCTGACTTAGTTGCTTTTGAATCATTGAAGTAGGGACACTGGGAATTTGGCAGGATTCAGAGAGCCACTGGGATGAATGGAGGTAGTTCATGTCTTTCATGAACTGTTCAACACCCCATTGCTATCTGGTGGATAAATGCATGTGGGACTACACTCATTTATAGTTGGAAGGCTACTTTTAGCAAATACGAAGACTTGAAATGTAGCATTTTTTCACTATGAGCACATCTTAAACCCATGACACTAACAAGGCGCCCACTCACAAGATAAGGCTTGCTGCTTATCATTGACAAATATGTCACTGACTCGCCAAACATGCCAGCGCACTTTAAAATGCCTAAGTACACAGAGACACTTTAATGACAAAAAGTCAAAGCTTTCAGAATTTCAAAAGAAGCTGTACTAATGACAGCCTTAAGACACTGGGAACTGTGGACTGATGGTGGCAGGTAACAGTGTTCTTATCCCAAAGCAGCATAGAGTACAACCGGGATGACATACTGCTTTCCTCATCTAGGTATTGCCTCAAATTGCAGCTAATGTGGGAAATGCTGACATGTAACTTTCTGGATGTTGTGTTTACCATACCCACATTTTAAAGTTATGCAGGGTCGTTCCTATTATATGTGTAGAGAGAAACCAAGTGATAATACCATTCCAGGGGAACTACATTTTCTTTATTATGGTCATATTTTTACCTCTGATGCCACTTAAATGGTTCCTATAAACGGTGTACTCTAATTCTATTTATCCCCTAATGAAAACACCTAAACAATCCCATGCAGGGGGCTCAAGGCAGTGTGTGGGTGTATAGAATCACAGAATCATAGAATCGTCTAGGTTGGAAAAGACCTTTAAGATCAAGGAGAAGTTATCAGATAATTGAATGGTAGAGGAGTAATTTACCTTTTTTTTTTGGAACGATAAGTGTCCTCTATGGATTTACTCTCTTTGATTCTGCAGTTTTAAGAGGGTATCTCATTTTTGCTGAATAAAAGTGCAGGTCAGAAAAATGTGAATTACAGGAAATAGGGAAAAATGGGACTATCTTCTGAAAACTGTAAGGGTACTATAAACAAGCTTTTGAAAGGTAATGATAAGGAATTTATATTCAATCAGTTTTGGAAGTAAACAATAATAAACTTATCTGTTTATCTACTGCTGAATGCCAAACCCTTCTGAATACTGTAAAACAGAATTAAACAAATAAACCCCCCCTTTATATAGTCTCTAAGAAGCAAATGAGGTTATCTATTCAAAAGGGGGAGAAAAATGATTAGAGAGAAAAGTACATGTAAAGCTATGGCTGGCTGTTCATTGAGTAAGTTTTAGGACTGAAAAAAGACTGTTTATAGAATCTGGGAAGAGCGAATTAAGATGGATTTCAGCTGAGTGATTGGAGGCAACTGGTTGTAGGCAAGATAAATCACTGCTGGATCTCAGAGTGATTTTGAACACCATTTTTTCAGCATGATGTAGTCCTAGAATCACTCACTATCTGTCTTTTGCACCTAATGTTCCTACGTTCGGTGTAAACCCAAGCAGCCACTGCGGCATTGGCATCTATGTGCGTGACTTGTTTAACCTTCACTGTGAGATTCAGAGACAGGCATGTAAAGGCACTGCAGCTCTGAAAGGGCTGGTCCCACAAACACATCTCATGCACTTTCGACTCTACTGAATTCACTCGTAATTCTCACCAAAAATCTATCAGGAGGAAGAAATGATTCTCCAGTTTTGCATATTAGCACACAAGGGGTTACAGCGTGCACTCAGGAATTGCTTTCTTCAGCCTGTTTGGGTTCAAACCCTCACCTTCTGTTCCTCACTCCTCTCACTAAAGCCTGGTGACTGTGCAGGGAGAGATGAAAGATTCCCAGAGTCAACAGGAGAATAAACAAAAACAACCTCCTTTTGCTTGGCCAACACTGGAAGCAGGGCTGAGATCCCAGGGCTCTCATTCCTGCAGTTTTGGAAAGTTCCTTTCAAGCCTTTCATTTCTTACCAGGGTACAATCCTGCATGCCTGCCTGAGATGAAACTTCTGTCTTCCTCAAATATTCCCCTGGAGTTCTGTTTTAATAAAACTGTGGTGGCACTACCTGAAGTCAAAGAAGTTGTACTGCATACAGAAAAGGTTATATATATATTAAAAAATACGATGCCCTTTATGATGATGTTCATGGAGCTCAGGAGGGAGTAAGTAGTTCCCATCTCAGTTTGTCAGACTTTATGAGCAATAGATTTGTCTGCTTGAATAGAGAGAATAATAAAACCAAGATCAGGCCTATACTCTTTAGTCATATTAGAAAAATACTATAAAACAACTTAAATGAAAAATATCTATAGTGCTGTGTGACACAATGTTCATGCAATAGCCTTTACATTAATTAACATCCTTAAATTTCTTACAGGGTGCACTTCATTTTTTCTATACCCG